CTAAAGACAGACGTGGTCAGTGAGGACAGGGGTCCAGCCTGTAGTAATTACTGTACAACTAGAGACAGACGTGGCCAGTGAGGACAGGGGTCCAGCCTGTAGTAATTACTGTACAACTAGAGACAGACGTGGTCAGTGAGGACAGGGGTCCAGCCTGTAGTAATTACTGTACAACTGGAGACAGACGTGGCCAGTGAGGACAGGGGTCCAGCCTGTAGTAATTACTGTACAACTAGAGACAGACGTGGTCAGTGAGGACAGGGGTCCAGCCTGTAGTAATTACTGTACAACTAGAGACAGAAGTGGTCAGTGAGGACAGGGGTCCAGCCTGTAGTAATTACTGTACAACTAGAGACAGACGTGGCCAGTGAGGACAGGGGTCCAGTCTGTAGTAATTACTGTACAACTAGAGACAGACATGGTCAGTTAGGACAGGGGTCCAGCCTGTAGTAATTACTGTACAACTAGAGACAGACGTGGTCAGTGAGGACAGGGGTCCAGCCTGTAGTAATTACTGTACAACTAGAGACAGACGTGGTCAGTGAGGACAGGGGTCCAGCCTGTAGTAATTACTGTACAACTGGAGACAGACGTGGCCAGTGAGGACAGGGGTCCAGCCTGTAGTAATTACTGTACAACTAGAGACAGACATGGTCAGTGAGGACAGGGGTCCAGCCTGTAGTAATTACTGTACAACTAGAGACAGACGTGGTCAGTGAGGACAGGGGTCCAGCCTGTAGTAATTACTGTACAACTAGAGACAGACGTGGCCAGTGAGGACAGGGGTCCAGTCTGTAGTAATTACTGTACAACTAGAGACAGGCATGGTCAGTTAGGACAGGGGTCCAGCCTGTAGTTATTACTGTACAACTAGAGACAGACGTGGTCAGTGAGGACAGGGGTCCAGCCTGTAGTAATTACTGTACAACTAGAGACAGACATGGCCAGTGAGGACAGGGGTCCAGTCTGTAGTAATTACTGTACAACTGGAGACAGACATGGTCAGTGAGGACAGGGGTCCAGCCTGTAGTAATTACTGTACAACTGGAGACAGACATGGTCAGTGAGGACAGGGGTCCAGCTTGTAGTAATTACTGTACAACTGGAGACAGACGTGGTCAGTGAGGACAGGGGTCCAGTCTGTAGTAATTACTGTACAACTGGAGACAGACGTGGCCAGTGAGGACAGGGGTCCAGCCTGTAGTAATTACTGTACAACTAGAGACAGATGTGGCCAGTGAGGACAGGGGTCCAGCCTGTAGTAATTACTGTACAACTAGAGACAGACGTGGTCAGTGAGGACAGGGGTCCAGCCTGTAGTAATTACTGTACAACTAGAGACAGACGTGGTCAGTGAGGACAGGGGTCCAGCCTGTAGTAATTACTGTACAACTAGAGACAGACGTGGTCAGTGAGGACAGGGGTCCAGCCTGTAGTAATTACTGTACAACTAGAGACAGACGTGGTCAGTGAGGACAGGGGTCCAGCCTGTAGTAATTACTGTACAACTGGAGACAGACGTGGCCAGTGAGGACAGGGGTCCAGCCTGTAGTAATTACTGTACAACTAGAGACAGACATGGTCAGTGAGGACAGGGGTCCAGCCTGTAGTAATTACTGTACAACTAGAGACAGACGTGGTCAGTGAGGACAGGGGTCCAGCCTGTAGTAATTACTGTACAACTAGAGACAGACGTGGCCAGTGAGGACAGGGGTCCAGTCTGTAGTAATTACTGTACAACTAGAGACAGACATGGTCAGTTAGGACAGGGGTCCAGCCTGTAGTAATTACTGTACAACTAGAGACAGACGTGGTCAGTGAGGACAGGGGTCCAGCCTGTAGTAATTACTGTACAACTAGAGACAGACATGGCCAGTGAGGACAGGGGTCCAGTCTGTAGTAATTACTGTACAACTGGAGACAGACATGGTCAGTGAGGACAGGGGTCCAGCCTGTAGTAATTACTGTACAACTGGAGACAGACATGGTCAGTGAGGACAGGGGTCCAGCTTGAAGTAATTACTGTACAACTGGAGACAGACGTGGCCAGTGAGGACAGGGGTCCAGCCTGTAGTAATTACTGTACAACTAGAGACAGACGTGGCCAGTGAGGACAGGGGTCCAGCCTGTAGTAATTACTGTACAACTAGAGACAGACGTGGTCAGTGAGGACAGGGGTCCAGTCTGTAGTAATTACTGTACAACTAGAGACAGACATGGTCAGTGAGGACAGGGGTCCAGTCTGTAGTAATTACTGTACAACTGGAGACAGACGTGGCCAGTGAGGACAGGGGTCCAGTCTGTAGTAATTACTGTACAACTAGAGACAGACATGGTCAGTTAGGACAGGGGTCCAGCCTGTAGTAATTACTGTACAACTAGAGACAGACGTGGTCAGTGAGGACAGGGGTCCAGCCTGTAGTAATTACTGTACAACTGGAGACAGACGTGGTCAGTGAGGACAGGGGTCCAGTCTGTAGTAATTACCGTACAAGTGGAGACAGACGTGGCCAGTGAGGACAGGGGTCCAGCCTGTAGTAATTACTGTACAACTGGAGACAGACGTGGCCAGTGAGGACAGGGGTCCAGCCTGTAGTAATTACTGTACAACTGGAGACAGACGTGGTCAGTGAGAACAGGGGTCCAGCCTGTAGTAATTACTGTACAACTGGAGACAGACATGGTCAGTGAGGACAGGGGTCCAGTCTGTAGTAATTACTGTACAACTGGAGACAGACATGGCCAGTGAGGACAGAGGTCCAGTCTGTAGTAATTACTGTACAACTAGAGACAGACGTGGTCAGTGAGGACAGGGGTCCAGTCTGTAGTAATTACTGTACAACTGGAGACAGACATGGCCAGTGAGGACAGAGGTCCAGTCTGTAGTAATTACTGTACAACTAGAGACAGACGTGGTCAGTGAGGACAGGGGTCCAGTCTGTAGTAATTACTGTACAACTGGAGACAGACGTGGCCAGTGAGGACAGGGGTCCAGTCTGTAGTAATTACTGTACAACTAGAGACAGACATGGTCAGTTAGGACAGGGGTCCAGCCTGTAGTAATTACTGTACAACTAGAGACAGACGTGGTCAGTGAGGACAGGGGTCCAGCCTGTAGTAATTACTGTACAACTGGAGACAGACGTGGTCAGTGAGGACAGGGGTCCAGTCTGTAGTAATTACCGTACAAGTGGAGACAGACGTGGCCAGTGAGGACAGGGGTCCAGCCTGTAGTAATTACTGTACAACTGGAGACAGACGTGGCCAGTGAGGACAGGGGTCCAGCCTGTAGTAATTACTGTACAACTGGAGACAGACGTGGTCAGTGAGAACAGGGGTCCAGCCTGTAGTAATTACTGTACAACTGGAGACAGACATGGTCAGTGAGGACAGGGGTCCAGTCTGTAGTAATTACTGTACAACTGGAGACAGACATGGCCAGTGAGGACAGAGGTCCAGTCTGTAGTAATTACTGTACAACTAGAGACAGACGTGGTCAGTGAGGACAGGGGTCCAGTCTGTAGTAATTACTGTACAACTGGAGACAGACATGGCCAGTGAGGACAGAGGTCCAGTCTGTAGTAATTACTGTACAACTAGAGACAGACGTGGTCAGTGAGGACAGGGGTCCAGTCTGTAGTAATTACTGTACAACTGGAGACAGACGTGGCCAGTGAGGACAGGGGTCCAGCCTGTAGTAATTACTGTACAACTGGAGACAGACGTGGTCAGTGAGGACAGGGGTCCAGCCTGTAGTAATTACTGTACAACTGGAGACAGACGTGGTCAGTGAGGACAGGGGTCCAGCCTGTAGTAATTACTGTACAACTAGAGACAGACGTGGTCAGTGAGGACAGGGGTCCAGCCTGTAGTAATTACTGTACAACTAGAGACAGACGTGGTCAGTGAGGACAGGGGTCCAGCTTGTAGTAATTACTGTACAACTAGAGACAGACATGGTCAGTGAGGACAGGGGTCCAGCCTGTAGTAATTACTGTACAACTAGAGACAGACATGGCCAGTGAGGACAGGGGTCCAGCCTGTAGTAATTACTGTACAACTAGAGACATACATGGCGAGTGAGGACAGGGGTCCAGCCTGTAGTAATTACTGTACAACTAGAGACAGACATGGTCAGTGAGGACAGGGGTCCAGCCTGTAGTAATTACTGTACAACTAGAGACAGACATGGCCAGTGAGGACAGGGGTCCAGCCTGTAGTAATTACTGTACAACTAGAGACAGACGTGGTCAGTGAGGACAGGGGTCCAGCTTGTAGTAATTACTGTACAACTAGAGACAGACATGGCCAGTGAGGACAGGGGTCCAGTCTGTAGTAATTACTGTACAACTAGAGACAGACGTGGTCAGTGAGGACAGGGGTCCAGCCTGTAGTAATTACTGTACAACTAGAGACAGAGGTGGTCAGTGAGGACAGGGGTCCAGCCTGTAGTAATTACTGTACAACTAGAGACAGACGTGGTCAGTGAGGACAGTGGTCCAGTCTGTAGTAATTACTGTACAACTAGAGACAGACATGGCCAGTGAGGACAGGGGTCCAGTGTGTAGTAATTACTGTACAACTAGAGACAGACGTGGCCAGTGAGGACAGGGGTCCAGCCTGTAGTAATTACTGTACAACTAGAGACAGACATGGTCAGTGAGGACAGGGGTCCAGTCTGTAGTAATTACTGTACAACTAGAGACAGGCATGGCCAGTGAGGACAGGGGTCCAGCCTGTAGTAATTACTGTACAACTAGAGACAGACATGGCCAGTGAGGACAGGGGTCCAGCCTGTAGTAATTACTGTACAACTAGAGACAGACATGGCCAGTGAGGACAGGGGTCCAGCCCGTAGTAATTACTGTACAACTAGAGACATACGTGGCCAGTGAGGACAGGGGTCCAGTCTGTAGTAATTACTGTACAACTAGAGACAGACGTGGTCAGTGAGGACAGGGGTCCAGTCTGTAGTAATTACTGTACAACTAGAGACAGACATGGTCAGTGAGGACAGGGGTCCAGCCTGTAGTAATTACTGTACAACTGGAGACAGAGGTGGCCAGTGCAGGGCTGTGAACAACTCCGTGACTTCCCCTTCCACCTGCAGGGCTGTGAACAACTCCCTGACTTCCCTCTCCAGCTGCAGGGCTGTAAACAACTCCCTGACTTCCCCCTCCAGCTGCAGGGCTGTGAACAACTCCCTAACTTCCCCCTCAAGCTGGAGGGCTGTGAACAACTCCCTGAGTTCCCCCGCCAGCTGCAGGGCTGTGAACAACTACCTGACTTCCCCCTCCAGCTGCAGGGCTGTGAACAACTCCCTGACTTCCTTTAGCTGCAGGGCTGTGAACAACTCCCTGACCTCCTCCTCCAGCAGCAGGGCTGCGAACAACTCCCTGACATCCCCCTCCAGCTGCAGGGCTGTGAACAACTACCTGACCTCCTCCTCCAGCTGCAGGGCTGTGAAGAACTACCTGACTTCCCCCTCAAGCTGCAGGGCTGTGAACAACTCCCTAACTTCCCCCTCCAGCAGCAGGGCTGTGAACAACTCCCTGACCTCCTCCTCCAGCAGCAGGGCTGCGAACAACTCCCTGACATCCCCCTCAAGCTGCAGGGCTGTGAACAACTCCCTGACATCCCCCTCTAGCTGCAGGGCTGTGAACAACTCCCTGACTTCCCCCTCAAGCTGCAGGGCTGTGAACAACTCCCTAACTTCCCCCTCCAGCTGCAGGGTTGTGAACAACTCCGTGACTTCCTCCTCCAGCTGCAGGGCTGTGAACAACTCCCTAACTTCCCCCACCCAGCTGCAGGGTTGTGAACAACTCCTTGACTTCCCCCTCCAGCTGCAGGGCTGTGAACAACTCCCTAACTTCCCCCTCCAGCTGCAGGGCTGTGAACAACTCCCTGACTTCCCCCTCCAGCTGCAGGGCTGTGAACAACTCCCTGACTTCCCCCTCCAGCTGCAGGGCTGTGAACAACTCCCTAACTTCCCCCTCCAGCTGCAGGGCTGTGAACAACTCCCTGACTTCCCCCTCCAGCTGCAGGGCTGTGAACCACTCCCTGACTTCCCCCTCCAGCTGCAGGGCTGTGAACAACTACCTGACTTCCTTCAGCTGCAGGGCTGTGAACAACTCGTCGGTGGGTCCAAATGATTCAAGAAGGCTAACATGAGATGCAACCTATTATTAACTTCCCCGATGAACAATCTGACTTTTGATAAAGCTTCAGTAAAATTAAACACACTCTCAATTGCATATGAGCCATAAAATAAAATCTTTTGAAGTAAAAGCTGGTGTGCAGATGATATTTTGAGCATTACGATCACATAACCATTTTGATCAGTGCTTGTTTTGTTGACATTGTGATTACAACAGTAGGAGTACATTATTTTGCCTGTAGACCTGTCGGTGAGGCTCTATCAAGACAGACTGCTAAAAAGTGGAGACAGCAGCTCCCTCAAGACATATTAATGGAGGTTAAATCAAGTTGCCCAAGGGATTGTGTGTAGACTTTTGTAAAGTTCATTGCATTAGGCAGCGGATGAATGTGTCTCCATTTCAGCTTATTCCTCTGGAGTGGATACCTTTCTGTATACTCTGCACTAATTGGTTAAAAACTTGATTTGACTGTTCTGATTGGTTAGTGTCATTCATTTACAACATATTGCACGCACAGATTTTATGTAGAGAAAAGCAGGACTTTCCCCAGACTTGTGTAGAATGATGTTACAAACTGTGAGCACCATCAGAATTATGTGGAGTCTTAGCTCACCTTGTGGGCGGCATCGTTGTTCATCTGGCACTCTGCAAGTATCACACAGATTGATTCCATGGTGGGAAAACACTTATGTATCAATGATGTTTTTCAAGAGTATTCTTTATGTATAAAACATGGCTAATGCTGTTGTCTTATTTACAAAATATCACTTGTGCAAATGGGAAAACTTGGTGATGATTTAAAAAAATCAAAGAAGAGGTACCTACCATACCTGTTTCATTGTTTATAAAGTGTGCGGGAGGTGGCCAGGGTGGCATCTCAGATCTGCCACACATCTGCATCCCTGCCACAAGGGGTGATGACCACTCAGTTGTGGCACTCTTCATTTCATCCCATAGCATGATAAAATACCAGTTTTATACTCAAAACTTTCCTTGAGATATATATGGTTTGCTTACTTTGATAGATGGATAGGAAAGGTTGTATGATGTGGTATTGAAAGCTATTTTAGGTATTGGATGGTAGTGGTCACTCAGGTGTGCCCAGTTTGGACACTGCAGAAAAACGGTGGACGATCTGGTCAGTGGATAAGTCCTTGTAGAAAAGTGAACATGCTCTTTATTAACGTGAACAGTTATATTTTACATGAAAGTTGCATGTTTCATCTCCTGTGAGTTTAACTCTCTTGGGTTTTTTTAAATGAAAAATGGTGTGGTCACTTTATGACTTTGTGAGTATTAATCATCCATGGCCAGAGTTTGATGTTTTCAGTCACGTTTTATCCCCTTCCTCATTTAACAGTGTGAAAAAAAATCAATGCAGATAACTGAGTGCTGGCCAGTGAGAGCTGGGAATAACCATGTGTGCCGCCAGGCAACTGTTTACATGGCCAGGATGCACATGCAGAAAAAGACACACTCACTTTGATAATTAATTTGTTAATTACATGATTGGCATAATCAGGGTTTATGCTTCAGCGTGTTGATTGCTGAACCATGACATGATTGTTCCGGGTCATTGGAGGCAAGTGGAAATGATAAGATGTAATTTTAGTCTGGGCCGGCAGAAAATTGACATTCTGTATCTAATACATGGTAATCACAAGTATTTATGGACTTAAGATCACTGCTGCTATCAAATATATATGTTATTTGATGATTACCATCACGCAAGGGATGATTAACTTACAGTGATTGCAGGATACTTTCAAAAATTATACAGTGTTCATTTGGACATAAAATGGAAGTCAGTTTGATGGGTGAGAATAGTGTATGATTTAGTAGCCACAAATAGCTGCTGCAAGAGGGGCTATCCATGCGACATAGCCGGTCATACAGGAGAAGCTTGCATCAGGTGATACCACCACTGATTGGCAGATATAGAGTTACTCACAGATCATCGGCAGAGTTTCATATAGACTTTGGAGGAAGGCTTGATCACCTCTGTAGTTTGGTGTGTTCAAGTACTGCTACTGACTTCTGGAAAATGGTCTGTGTGGGTAGATGGCAGCATGTGTTGCATGACATGGTGGGAGAAATATACAGTATTAGGTGCCCAGGGAAACTGACAGTGTTGGAATAAATCAGTGTTGAAATGTAGATGGATTATTGTATTGGAAAGTGAAGAATAAGATTGGGGAGGATTATGTGAGATGACACATAAATAATGTGACAGCTAGTGGGATGTCAATGATATTACCTGGTCTGATGATGTGAGATGACACATAAATAATTTGACAGCTAGTGGGATGTCAATGATATTACCTGGTCTGATGATGTGGGATAACGATAAATAATGTCACAGCTAGTGGGATGTCAATGATATTACCTGGTCTGATGATGTGAGATAACACATAAATAATGTGACAGCTAGTGGGATGTCAATGATATTACCTGGTCTGATGAAGTGAGATAACACATAAATAATGTGACAGCTAGTGGGATGTCAATGATATTACCTGGTCTGATGATGTGAGATTACACATAAATAATGTGACAACTAGTGGGATGTCAATGATATTACCTGGTCTGATGAAGTGAGATAACACATAAATAATGTGACAGCTAGTGGGATGTCAATGATATTACCTGGTCTGATGATGTGAGATAACACATTAATAATTTGACAGCTAGTGGGATGTCAATGATATTACCTGGTCTGATGATGTGAGATAACACATAAATAATGTGACAGCTAGTGGGATGTCAATGATATTACCTGGTCAGATGAGGTGGGATAACACATTAATAATGTGACAGCTAGTGGGATGTCAATGATATTACCTGGTCTGATGATGTGAGATAACACATAAATAATGTGACAGCTAGTGGGATGTCAATGATATTACCTGGTCTGATGAAGTGAGATAACACATAAATAATGTGACAGCTAGTGGGATGTCAATGATATTACCTGGTCTGATGATGTGAGATTACACATAAATAATGTCACAACTAGTGGGATGTCAATGATATTACCTGGTCTGATGAAGTGAGATAACACATAAATAATGCGACAGCTAGTGGGATGTCAATGATATTACCTGGTCTGATGATGTGAGATTACACATAAATAATGTCACAACTAGTGGGATGTCAATGATATTACCTGGTCTGATGAAGTGAGATAACACATAAATAATGCGACAGCTAGTGGGATGTCAATGATATTACCTGGTCTGATGATGTGAGATAACACATTAATAATGTGACAGCTAGTAGGATGTCAATGATATTACCTGGTCTGATGATGTGAGATAACACATAAATAATGTGACAGCTAGTGGGATGTCAATGATATTACCTGGTCTGATGATGTGAGATTACACATAAATAATGTGACAACTAGTGGGATGTCAATGATATTACCTGGTCTGATGAAGTGAGATAACACATAAATAATGCGACAGCTAGTGGGATGTCAATGATATTACCTGGTCTGATGATGTGAGATAACACATAAATAATGTGACAGCTAGTGGGATGTCAATGATATTACCTGGTCTGATGATGTGAGATAACACATAAATAATGTGACAGCTAGTGGGATGTCAATGATATTACCTGGTCAGATGAGGTGGGCTTATGCCATCATGCATTGTTGTCAGGTTAGCTCATACCTAATGCCAGTGTATAAAGGAACCAAACTGGACTAATATTATACAAGCATGTATATCAAGTTGTGTTTTTCACAATGAGTGTCAGAATTCTTGTAATTCCCAAGTGAGAGCAAGGGCAATACACAAATTCTAACATGTGTTTTGTAAAATCAGTCAGACACACCTGTGAGTGTAATGATTTCTTTATTAGACCATTTTTTCTAATGAAGATGAGCACCCTTTAGAAAATGCACTGATCACGACTGCCCTCTTTGAAAATATATTATCGAATGAGGTCAACAATCTTCAGCTATGACGTTTCTAGTGTGATGTCATTCTGACTTGCATCACAATAAGATTTGCAGGCTGTCAACAATGCTGTCTGGATGATGTAAGCAATACGCTGGTGTGTGTGAAGTGATGTTTGCTCTGGTGCACATATAAGTTTAGTTATCACGGTTATTTCTAACCCTGAGGGTAATAAAGTATGATACTTTCTGTCCTTTAATAAATAATTATGCATATTAATGTGCTCCTATGTCGTTTTGATAGGTTAAATGTGAAATTGCGTTTCTTGTAATCTATTATGGAGGGTTGTTATGAATTTGGATGACTTACAAATGTCCTTCCTGCAAATATTAACCAAATAGGATCAAACAAGATCATCAAACTGCATCAATATCTAGTACCAGCACTCCATGTAACCAGTGGTATCACTGCCAACAACACCTTGTCCGTGCAAATCACAAGAACACTCCATAGTCTATTGGTTTCTATACTTCCGAAAATGACAGCATATTCTGTAAATTAAATTGTTTGGCAGAGAACGTGAAATAAATATGATGATGTATTAAACTATTGCTTGATGTGCCTACTTATAATGGATGACATTTGTCCTCATTTCCAGCTGACAGATTTCTGACAGCTGCTCTTCATACTAATTGTGTGGGATGTTTCAAGTCAGTTTGCAAGATAATACCTCTCATTGGCTGATATCTTCTAATTAATCAGCTGACTAATAGGCAATCCCTATACAGAGACAGTGGTCTGTGAATGAAGGATAGTCTATGACTGTCGGGCTGTTATTGCAAGCTATTGTTTGTCAGACTTGCATTAACTGCTGCTTGAACCTTCCTGCTCCAGCAGCAGATTACAACTAAGCCATGTAACATGATCTATAGCAGTTGTTTCAGATTATTGTAATGGGGGGCAGGTATCTAATACTGGCTGATTGTGAAGTCATACTGTTATCGGTAAATGGGATTAGATAAAAGTGGTGATTCCCAGTTGTCAGGGCAAAGACCAGAGGAGCTTTTACCAATGTAATGTCTTGATGAT